AGGTCGGTATCCATGATACGTAAAGCGAAAAGAACTTTAGTCCTTAAAAAGGTTTCCTTGCATTATGATCACTATGATAACAATAACCTCAAACTTTTTTATTTTTTTATTTTTTTTGCTGGTTTAGTGGCTTATATTCCGTTGGAACCTACAGCCATCGATAGACAGTATTTATTGTCCTTAGACATCATGGGATTTAGGCACATCCATGCTCCAGGCTTTCAAATTTTCAGGGATTAAGGCCGAGTGGAATCTGTTTCTGCAGATCCACTCGTCAGTTCCATGAAAATTTGTCACCACCACCGGGATTCGAACCCGGGACCTATTGGCCTAGAGTCAGACGCGCTGACCACTAGGCCAACCTGGCCGGCTAACCTCAAACTTTTCAAAAAAAGTCATGTGCCGGTGAATATTGTCAACAAAACGAAGGACGCTCATCGGTCGAAAGGAGAATGCGCGCCCCGCTTTCACTCGCAACGTGTGAACGTAATTGAAAGTATAAAATCGGGCGTCAGCGCTCAACAGCGCATCGATGATCCTCACTTTCGGCTCACTCGCAGCAAAACTTGCAACGCGTGCGAAGGGCTGTAGTATTTATTTTCGCTTCTTACCGGGCATCCTTTCTTTCATTGTCGATATCTTCATTTTCACGATTATTCTGATGACCGTCGATTCTCCAATGACACGTTAAAACATTACTTTGATGATGGATTCTTTCGATATTTGTCGATATTTTTATTATTAACGATATTACGATAATTGTTCATATTTCATTGATTGCTGATATTTCCGATAACCGTCGATACTTCCGATAATCGACGATTTTTCGTTTATCAACAATATTCCAGATAATCTCCGATTTTTCGATAATCGACGATATTTCCGATGATCGACGATATTTCGATAATCGACAACACTTCGGCTATCGACGATATTTCGGTTATCGACGATATTTCGATAATCGTCGATATTTCGATAATCGTCGATATTTCGATAATCGTCGATATTTCGATAATCGTCGATTATTGATGATTCGAACCGAACCGATCGAACTCATTCGATGTTCGGTTTCGGTTAACAGGCCTAGCCCAGCCGCCGGGGCAGTTGTCGGTTTGATAGGACATTCAATGTACAGACATCATGGCGTCCTCAACGTAATTCAATTGTTCCTTATTTCCCACACTTAGCAAATGGCAGACTCGCAAGCAACCGTAGGCTCAAGTTTTTTCTCATCAGAAATGACGTTTTTGCGTTTCTTAGCACTTGCTATAATTAGCTATTATATGCCATTCACCATGCATTTTTTCATGTTCCACTGTCATATTCTATCCAATCGAATGCATTAAAGCCTAAATCTGCCCAGGCAGAATAAAACGATTTGATGGGGCTGATCGGGAGGAATTGAATCTTGTGCTTAAGAACAGCGAAGAATCGCCTCGGACGGCTTCTTAGAGGTTCCGTAAAAGTTTTTTTTTTTTTTTTGACGTTTTACCATATTTCAAACACATAGTCTTTCAAAATAGATATATGTAAGCTTAAGTTTAGCTTGGCAGACGAAAACGAGTTCAAACGCCCGATCGGTGAAACTTGAAAGTAGGGCTCCCGAGCGATAAAATTGTCTCGGGAGGCTGCTTTGAGGTTCCGTTTTTTTTTTTTTTTTTTTTTTTTTTTTTTTTTTTTTTTTTTTTTTTTTTTTTTTTTTTTTTTGGACGTTTTACCATGTTTCAAACACATAGTCTATCAACATAGATATATTTAAGCTTATGCTTCGCTTGGCAGACGAAAACAAGTTCAAACGCCCGATCGGTGAAACTTGCAAGTAGGTCTCCGGAGCCATGAAACGTTGTAGTATTGTCCTGAGCAGTCTCAAGTTCCCTTGACAGTAGTATATGACGAAGTCCTACTACATTTAGCTTCTTATAGTCCATCCAATACAAAATTTAATATTTAGGCGTAAAAAAAACAAGTTGGATTTTGCAATCGCTAGCGATAGCAATATTCGTCATGGGAACGTTAACTTATGGGATATGAAAATGTTAAGGTATAGTTCGTTTGTAGTATCTTCCGAATTGAAGGGGCTATGTAATTTTGTGTTGACATCTCTTTTTTAACATTTTTAATTATTTTCTTTGCATACAAGAAAGCTGTTATGTACCAATTATTTATTTTCGTTGGATTATATATAGTTTTCGGAAGTTAACGCATTTAAGTTTCAGGTTCGCTTTTTCGGCGTAAAATATACATAAGGTGTCCCAAAAGTACCGGGACTGGTTCTGTAACTTCGAAAGTAAGATAGATACAGACATGATCTTGATTTCATTTTAAAGATCAACTCAATACCTATCGATTAAAACCAAGATCAGCTCAATCGAATAAAAATTGACCGAGTTATGGCAATTTGAAATCAGGGAGGAAAGTTTACGCCTACGGTTTTTAAGGAAGATTCTTCATCGCCGTAAATCGAAAAGTCGGCCCATAAAGTGATGCTTATTGTGTTTTTTTATTTTCGAGGTGTCCTTTATCAACATTTTGTACCATCAAACACAACAGTTGACAGTGCGTATTTTTGCAAAGTACTAAAGGAGTTGAGAATGCACATTTCCCGGAAACGGTCGGACTTGAACGCTTCGTGGATACTCCATCAAGACAATGCGCGGCCTCACAAGTCGAGCTTAACACGTGAATTTATGAGTAAAAATGGAGTTGAAACAATCCCTCATCCCCCTTACAGCCCTGACTTGGCTCCATGTGATTTTTGAATGTTTCCTACGCTTAAAAAGGAGCTTCGCGGACGAAGATTCGTATCGAAGACCGAAATCCAGAATGCAATTCCAAACTTCTTCAACTCCATCCCAGAGGAAGAATTCAGGAAAACAATGTTGGATAAGTGGCAAGAGCGCATGAAAAAGTGCATCCGGTTTGATGGACGGTACTTTGAAAAGCAAAAGGAAGTTATGGAAGATTCGGAGGAAAGTGGATACGAATATTAACTTTTTGAATCCTGGTAAGCGAAAAATCTTCCTAAAAACCGTAGGGGTAAACTTTCCTCACTGATTTCAAATTGTCATAACTCGGTTAATTTTTATCCGATTGAGCTGATCTTGGTTTTAATCGATAGGTATTGAGTTGATCTTTAAAATGAGACCACAATCATGTCTGTATCTATCTTACTTTTGAAGTTACAGAACCAGTCCCGGTACTTTTGGGACACCCTACGTATGATATTTTTACTCTACACATATGCCCGAATACGCATCATAATGGACCTATGTGCTTCCTAAGTAGCCAAGTATTAATTATTGTTAGATGATTGGTCTAAAACATTCAATACAACCAGTAAAAATTAACTATCCCCTACGAGATTCGAACCCCCGCTCGTAAAAAATGGAGCGCTGACGAAGCGGTAGAATGGTGTCGATGACGACTGAGCTATCTCGACATCCGTTATAAGCGAGAGAAAAAAGAACAATTAAGGGATCTCGGACGCTGAGCGGGGCTTCACAAAAGGCGTCCTTGAAGTTTCGGCGCGGTTCGGCCCTTGCGGTAATATGAGACAACGGATTAAGCGCATTTCTCTGTGAGACATTGTTTGCCTATGCTTTCATGTGTCACAAGGTTCATCTCAGCATGCATTTGCTATCGCGGCAGTAAACTGAGGCAATATTTCTGTATTCATGGATTAAATCCATCAATCGAGTTCTGATTTTGGCTCATATATCCGTAACGGGTCCTCCAGAGCAATTTTCCACCTTGTACGATGGTTATTATTTCTTTATATCTATGTTTAAAATTTGAGGTGGGATAATGGCGGCTTCTCAAGAGCAACGAGGTAGGCGATCTTTTGCACCAACGAACAGGAAACTGATGGTGAAAAATAACCAATCGGAACCTCCCAAAAAAAAGAATTTCCCCAAAATCGGAACTTCGTGGTTCTGCGCAGATTTACCAGTCAGACACGACATCTCAAGTTGGAAAAAAACTCGCTGAAAGGGAATTTTAGAAATCAACACAACTTGACGTAGAGACATGATTGGCTAAAAAATACAACGGTTTTTGATACATCGGAAAATCAACCAAAAATCGAAGACTGGGCGAAACGCTCAAGGTCGCAGAGGCATAGGGAATCCCATAGCGATAGCAACGGAACGATTGTAATATCATGGGGAACTCCGTTCCCATGACAAAAAAATATATACATATTTTCCGAGTATCGAACCCAGGACCTTACGCAGAATAATGAGAGGCGATAGCCACTACACCGCACCGCCCTGATATGCTATTAGTGCTTCAATTTAAGGTTCGTCATCAAATTATTACCAAAGTTACAAGAAAGAATAAAAATGTGAAAAATGGATTTTTTGAAAAGTATTAGCATATTTCCACTCAGCGACCATAAAAACCACTAAAAACTCATGTTGCAAGGTATAAACATACAAATATCATTTAATGCCGCTTTTATCGGGCTATTGGACCATAGTGCGGCGTGCGGAATCTGAGATAAGACTGCCGCTCGGTGCTGAAGTTCTCCTGATTTCCTTGTTGACACATAGCTGATCATTCACTCGAATGCTGAAATGAGGAATCTTTCTGACTCTTATCACCAAATAAATGAATCTTCTTGGGCGTTTTTTGCGAAAACGGTGCATCGCGTAGAAAGTTGGCGCTTTTGATCAAGAGCATCGATTGCAATAAAAAACTAAAGATCTATCGTGGTGCTTTTTCCCTAGCAAGAGGTGCGCGGGGTCCTTTACAGAAAAATTCTTCGACCGCTCTTGAGGAAAATAACAGCATCGCCGAGACGAATTGCATTACCTACCCTGCAACGCATATAGGTACATCCTACTCTTCTCATTGTTTCATTTGGGGGTTGGTTGTGAGTCATTCACCTAACTGCCTTCAAATTAGCTTCCAATTATGCAAAACAAAACCTAGAGAGTAGATTCTCTACTTTTGACATGTACATCTTACATAGTAGTAATGAAATGTGGACAAACACTTACGAGAAATCTTCTCTCATTTTCTTGGTTACCTCACACTGGAGGCACATTTTATCGAGTGGCCATTCATTCTTCCGAGCAGCACTTTGCATTACAGCAGTCAGAAATGATTGAGGATTAAAAAAGCCACTGAGCCAAATGGTTGAAGGAAGCTAAGATACAAACAGCCAAACAAAATTAGACAAAACCATTAGCTCAAAATTTCGCATGATGGAAAAGAAAATTAGCAACAGGGTCTCTCAGCACAAAAAGGATCCACAGAGTGTACATATTAAAACTTAGGTATCCATTCACTCGATCATACATTTTTTGCACAAAATCTAATAAATTTTGGTGATGTAAGAAACTTTTGAAGATTTTAGGAGCTACAGGTTGAGTATCCTGTTTCTATCTAAATACGTTGCAAAATGAGTCAGTAAGGTTCGGTAGGGATTTGCCTGCGATTGATCAAGGTGAAAGTAACAGAATGATTTTAATAAGGTCTTAAAGGGGGTGTAAATTTCGGCAATTTTAATTTATCGGTCACTGCTTCTCAAAGACTCGGAAATTAGAAGTATCTATCAGCTAATATCTTGCTGTGCCCGTCAATTATCCCTACTGTTAGCGATTATTCGCTCGCTCATTTTCGTTGGTAACATTCTAATGTGTATCAGGTTTAAATTACCCACTGGCAATTGCTCAATGCAAAGGCTGTAGTATGAGTGGCGGTAGCCACATCCAGGCAAGTTACCTATCCTCCAACAATTGGCAAACAGCAAACAGCACAGCCCGGCCGTGGCACCGACACCATAACTACACGTACTTGGCGTATTTGGATTTTTAGTTTCGTTTCAGTAAACTTTTAACAGCAACCAGAAAACCGAATCCAGAAATTTTGGTGTCTAGGGATGCGTCTGTGTCCCGTCTAAGAAACTGAAGAGTCACGAGGAAGTCAATGATTTATTAAATGGGATAATTACGCATAGGTTATTGCCAAAATCAGCGAAAAGGATCCACTTTGGCGTAGTTGAACAACCCCTACGAAATACAAAGAATACGAGACATCAGAGCTCTAGACAGGGTGTCTCGCGAAAAAGGAGCCACCTTGAATATCTGCCGAACGCGTCGGAATTGCGATAAACGGTAAAAGACGTGTTCATTTATATCGAGGGGGACACCTATAGGTGTATTTGACATCTTCCCAAACCGCGGGAGGGGCGCGAGGCGGGGAGTGCTCCACCCGTAAGTCGAACTTTTCAAATGGCACCCCTACTTTTTTATTTCAGAAATCAATTCTACGCAAAATAACAAGCCCTCCTGTCCAAACCGAACGTTAATCGGACAATATTTCAGCGATTGGCAGAGGTTGAAACATTTTTTTCATGCCCTTTTCAAAAATTCCCCACGCCCAATGGAATTGTCGTATCAAACCAAACTCTCCGCCAAAAAAATTCTTAAACATTGCACTTTCGGGAAACAAAAAAAAAAAAAAAAAAAAAAAAAAAAAAAAAAAAATCTGCTGTACTCAAAAGCTGAAGCAGCCGGAGCCCTTCTTTGTGACATTAAAATTCGTTATACCTAACATTTCCGAGGGCTGTTCATCGGAAGGCAAGGAAGTAGTAAGTTTTAGACAATACTATTATTCTTTTTTCTGAAGCATAAGATACCGTGTCATGGGTGGCGGTAGCTACCTCCGGACAAAGTCTAAACTCGACAACACTGGACAGCGTCCAAACGAAAAAGGTGCCAGCCAACCATAGACACACGTAACTCTCTTATTCTGAAAACTGATTCGGTTCTAACTCAACTGCAGCCCAAACGACGGCACGGATTCCAACGATCTTGGTGTCTACTTACGCACCTAATTTGGGCCTACAAAGTGGGATGGTTTCATCAAGATCCATTGAGTTTTCAAAAAGTTATAAGCACTTAAAGGCCCAAAACGACAAATATTTTTTGTAACATGGGCCGTTTTGTAGCGGGAAAATTTGAAATTTCGAAACACACCCGACACGATCACCTTTCACAACCGATTTCTTGCTTACACGGCCGCAGATTCTAATGAAACCTACAAAGGATCATGCTTGAAGATATGAGGATTCCATTTCTACCACATTTAATAGGGTTTCAATGCTCGGATAATTCAGTATTGGCAAATAACTTTAAAAATTTTAGTTATAAATTTTCGAAACACACCCGACATGATGACCTTTCACAACAAATTTCTTGCTTACACGGCCGCAGATTCGAATGGAACTTACATAGAATCATGCTTGAGGATATGAGGATTTCATTTCTACTACATTTAATAGGGTTCCAATTCTCAGATAATTCAGCATCGGCAAATAACATTCAAAATTTTAGCTATAATTGTTTGAATTTAGAAAAAAACTGGCAGTGGTTCAATGCCATTTGTCGATTCCGTTCAATTCAACCAGTCCAGCCAGGTTTCGGGAACGAAATTCCCCGTTCTCGTTCGTGACCAACATCTTACTAACTAGTTGTGAATAGATTTAATTTAAATAAGAGTTAAATTCTCTGTGGTTGCTAACTACTATTTTTACACACTTCAATTATCACGTCGCACGTCTTCTACCAGAGCCCGATACACTATTTAATTAGCTTCTCTAAAAAAGTTCAAGTGATGTGTTTATTTTGAACGATGGAATTCAGAAGTGAGGTTATCAGTCCGTGTATCTATCTCACCTAGAAGCATAAATAAATGTAATTCAGGTAAATTACGTCGATAAAAGGACACCAAAGTTGTGCCAAACTATCACAAGGAAGCAGGATTTACACCACAGTGCATTCTCGTAACTAACAGCATCCAAAAATTTCCCTACCATGCACACCAATGGATCAGTGGATCGAAGGGAGAGTCATCGTCCATTACTCTCAGTTTTTAATTATATTATTGTTTTCCTCAAGCCACGAATGCTAGTTTTCACATCTTGAAGAGATGTAGTTGTTTTCAGTGACCGAAGTTCATTCGCTTTAAATTTTGCTTTCAACCTACGTGCTCTGAAGTGATTGTGCTCTTCCTAAGTGTATGTTATTGACATTAAGACCTTGTTTTCTTCATGACTAATCTTGGAGAGCTTTTACCTCTTACCGTTGCTTTTTTACATCAAAGACATCATAGAGATATAGGGATGCGAGGTATAATTCAATCACTAGTATGTGTGTTCAATCACTAAGTCAACTTTATGTCCCTAAATCAGAGATCATTGACGATGAGTAGTAGCTCAAATTTGGTTTTCTCCGAGTCTCTTTGATTTTGCGTCAAAAGTTGTATATACCACCATTTTGCCAGTCAATGGGTAACAAAGTCTTAAATGAAAGGTTCTCGTCCTATTTTTTCAGCTTGATGATTACTTTAAAATAAAGGTTTTATTTTGCTGTATAAATTGCTGGGCCAAGTAAGTACGTAGCGCCAATTCCTTCTCTATCTTTACATATGAAAACTTTATGTATAAACACGTCAAATAGTGAAATTATGTTATGGACTTACACTGGTGCAGCTACCAACTGTTAGATAATGTGTGAAAATATTGTGGTGTTGTTGGTCGATGTGTCACTGAAAAATTCCATCTTCACCTAGTGAGAACTTTTCAGACTTATCTTCTAGCTTAATTACTCCAGTGAAACAGTGCACTCTGAAATTCATTGAGCGGTGGGTCTATGTATGGTTTGTGTGCCTACCTATTTTTTAATGAAATAAATGTAATAGGGTGAATCAAGGCCAAAAAAGATTAGACCAATCGGTAGCGCACATGATGAAAAGTTTGTGCTTCGGAACCAATTGCGGAACATGCTCTGATGAAGAGTTTGAGGGTGGTGTTTTTAGTCCGACGGTGGACAACCAAATTAGTAGGAATTCTTGAACTACCAGGTAACTGAGAGGTAGCCTTCAAGTAGGGTGAAAATGCCGACTTGAGGCCAGTAAATTATCCAACAGTGTTGCATGATGGTGCAGAAAAATATGAATTAAATTACAGCGTTGTATAGGGATTATTGTTCAATATGGCAACGCTGTAAAAAGAAAGTATTGCATGTTGCCCCTTCAATATGCGGGTTATGCAATGGTGTAATAATGCCCCTTCATTTTTCGGGTTATGCAATGGTGTATTTTTCAAGATGGCGCAGCAGCGTTGCCG